CTGAGCTATCGCTAATTTTCTTGTATGTTTTGATCCATTCATCTACCATTTCACCAATATCAGAAAGAAAATACAGTGGAGGCAAAGTTTCTATAAAATCAAAGCAGATTCCTCTTTTAGAAAATTTGGGTAGCACCACTTGTACAAAATTCAATCCAGTGTCATTATCCATAAAAATAACTCCAATCCATGTCCACCTGAAAAGAAGCAGCAGCTGTAGGATCCCCGAATATTGATGCTCCCCACTAGGGAACATCCTTTGGAAAAAAATACTTTGGGTCTGTTCATTTATTACTGGAGCAGAACCATAAGTGAACTGTAAGGAAAAGATATATAACAAGGAAAAAGAGAAGATCCAGTTCCCAATATCTGCTTAAATCAGAAGAAATATAATATCCAAATCACAGGAAAGAAATGGTTTTACTTTGTTCAATCCACCTCTACTTCGAGTTCTGTGTCCAGGTCTGGACATCAAATTTTAAATGTAATTAAAAGATTAGTTTCAAAGAGGGGCAAAGATGAGATCTAGTTCCTGATCAAGGAACTAGAAATCAAATACTATGAAGGAGATGGAAGCAACCAGGAATGAACAATCCTGGAAAAAGAGGATTGAGGGGGGACTAGGTAGCAGTCCTTAAAGATGTGAAATGATGTCCCAGAGTTCAGAGTCAGGACTTGTATATAGAACTCTGATTAATAATTTCATGTTACAGGAAGACAGATTCTAACTGAAGACTAGTAATGGTAAGAGCAGTTGAACCCTGGAACCAAGAGAAAGCATGGAATCATCTGTTGAAGTTCCTATAATATGGATTCGTGGACTGACCCGAGGAGAGGAGACAACAACATAAATTGGACATCCGACTTTATGTTTCTGTGAGTTTGCCTGCTTTTTAAATGTCATTCCATCTAGGTAAAGGGAGGTTCTGTGAATTCATTATGTCAAGAAAACAAGTATGCATTAGTGTGCAGTGTGTCTAGTATGTTTTTATGTGTATTCTATGTCAGGATTTGTACTTTAAGCCCCAAAGGAGTACTGCATCTTTTCACTATTGAAGTTTGGCCTGCACAGTTTGGACCTTGAAATTTCAGGGAACGTACCTGCACAACCCAATGAAGATCAAGATCTTCAAAAGTGTATGTTGTATCTCATGTAGAAATAGAAAAGATGGCCATCTGACCTCACTATACAACAGGCAGCTGCAACCTCACTTTCATTTTATTACCAAAAGATGACCTCACTGTTCAATCAAGCTTTTAGTTCTTAAAAATAATTCCTTATGCTTAACTCATTGTTCAAAGTTATGGACTTCTACTCATATGATTCATAGATTGTATCATTTTTGTATATAGTGTTCAACTATCCCATAGTATCTACTGCTGTTTAATGTTTAACAATATTATAGTAGTCATACACAACTACATCCAAGACTTATGGGACATATTGTGGGTTTGTTCAGGAGCTAAGCCGTTTGTGCACATCTTACCTGTGGTACCTTGTAGATGCTCAGAATGGTTGCCATATAGAAACCCACATCTGAATTGGGTCCTGCAATGACTGCAACAGTATTATCTTTAGTATCACACTTGTAGTTTGGGATAAAGTTGCTCCATGTGGAGAGAAGCTCCATAGAGGCGAGTAAAATGCAACTTGCAACAAAATGGCTATTATAGATATGGAAGCCCAGAGAGATATTGGGTAATATCTGAGGATTTTCATTAATCTCCATTACAGCAAATGCAAAGGCCAGGGTATGGTGATAGATCTGGGTCACAAATCTGCAGTGTGATTTACGTGCTGAATGAGTGCAGAGTCTTGCTAAATTTTCATCCAAAGCAAATACTTAGCCTTACCAATCACAGATGTTTTAAAATATATCTTTAACGGTGATGTTTACCTGGAAGCCATGAGTGGACTCATTCCCATCTGGAGTGTTCAAAGATCAGCTTTCTATTCTTATTGCTTTATTTGCATTTGCCTGTGTATCTTAAAGGGGAGAGGCCACCCAAGTCTCTATGTATCTTCAGAGCTGCTTATGAAACTAGCTCATATTCACAGGAAGGGTTACCAAAGTTGATGGTAGACTTCCAACTGATATATGCAGCTGATATCTGGTGGACAAATAATCAGTACCATCTGAATTCTTTTTAGAAAGCTCTCAAGTAGGCAAGGTGTTGAATCTTGCAAACAAAATATTTTGATGTTGGACATATCTGGCACTTTATATTGTGAAATATTATGTGGAGCAGAGAAGAGGATGAACACTCCAAAAGGGACATTTATCTATACTCATGGAATACCAGGCAAATGTATTACTACTATTACCACCACCACCACAACTGTAAAACAGTTCCTAGCACTTATGCTACCAGGGAAAGTATCATAAAATATTGTCTCAGAAAATACTTCCATTTGGCATCTTCATCTATGAAAGAGGGAGGAAATGAGACACAAAATCCAGAATAAGAAATATCAAAACTCTCCAAATAATGAAAGCTAAATACAGTTTGAACAAATAAAGGCAGGTCAAGATAAATGCAACTGAGGGATGGGCATGAACAATAGATGAAAACTCATGGGAATTCATATAGGACTTTTTCCATATTACCTCCACTATTTATTCCAAATATTTCACAGCAAAACAGGCTGAAGTCAAGGTCCTCCTTCCTAACAGATACAAGACAATGCAGTGAAATTCCTTTCACAGATTTGACATATGGGATATTCTTAAATGATGAGTAGCATTTATAGTAGCAGTCATACATAGCAGTTATAGAAATATTGTCATGGTTATAGACTGAATGAATGAGGGACATGACATAGAAACAATGAAAATAACAACCGGATTAATTGTGATGCAGTAGATTTGATGATAGTCCATTTGATCAGGAAGGACTAAACTTCCATGTAGTAACTTGCAACAAATAACTTCTGCAGTGAAACTGGGATACTCCTATTGAAGAGGGGGAGGGAGAGAGAGAGATGAAGCCAGAGATTCTTTCCCATTCATCCTCTCTCAATGAAATTATACCCCAAGTACCACCTGCTTGTGATAACCATATGATTTGGAGCAAGAAAACTCCTTATGGAAAATGCTAGGATTAACCAAGCCCTTGGCTTACCCGATATTATCCAGGATGTCGTAGGATGGATGCTGACGGAAAGTCACAGGTTCAGAAAATATGAAGACTTGAGAAATAATGCCAGCAATGGTGAAGTCCCCTGGCTGATAATACCGGTGACTTATTGGCACAGGGTAACAGATACTGCATGGAGCAACTGGGACATCGGACACGGTCTGAGGCAGTAGCAGTAATATCAGGAAAACAAAGGGTGGCATTAGGCAGAAACATTTTCTTCTGGACATCAGTTCCTGTCTTAAGTGTCCTTAAGGAGTTCTGGGTGACTTTAGTGCCCTCTCAAACTTTGCACTAGGAATCTTCAGGGGAAGCTCACCAAGCAGAATGTGTTGTGTCTCTTTTGTTGGATGGCAAAACATCTTTTAGTAGCATATTTTGATCTTGCCTGTCTTCTGCCAAGGTGAATTGGTTGTCCTTTGGGAGGTGAAGTGGAAGTTACCCTTGTCAGCTTGTTAACTACAGGGGAGATAATTGCCTTTGCAAAATTACAGGTTCTTTACAATACCATAGAAGAAAACAACTTGATTGCATATTTCAAGACTCTTTTTCTCTTTTTCATTTGATTATTCATTTATTAAGTTATCAAGAGACTGGAGTTATTTTCGGTTCGTTCTATTTAGTGTGTATGTCATCTGGTGCACCAGTTGCAGCCTTTTGTAGATCAGGTATTCAGATAATCACTCATGTCCTGGTTACCTCACGGCTTGATTACTACAATGGCTGTGCATGGGCTGCCCTTGAAGATCACCACAAAACTTCAACTGGTCCCAAGTGCACTTTTGCCATTTTGCCGTAATGGGCATGCCTCACTGCTGCTTCATGAGTTGCACTTGTCGTCAGTTTGCTTCTGGGTGCAATTCAAGGTGCTGTTTGCTATCGATAAACCCCTATATAGCACAGGGCCTGGTTACTTGAGGGACCCCCTGTTTCCCATAGTATCTGCCTAGCCAAACTGGTCTGTCATGGTGGGCATGCTCTGGGTTCCTTTAATTAAGCAATGCCATCCATTGGGACCCTGGAAACATGCCTTCTCTGTAGCAGAGCCTCTTGTCTGGAATGAGGTCCCCCCAGTTTCGAATGGCCCTCACCCTACTGCTATTGCAGTAGAGCGCTCAAGACCTGGCTCCTTGCCCAGGCCTTTGGTATGTATGATTTAAACGCCCCCCCCCTTTATTTTTAAAATAATTTTTATTAAAAAAATTTACATAGATAATAAGAAATACTTTCAAAGAAAGAAAAAAAAGGAAAGAAAAAAATATAGCGGAAGAAGTATGAAATAAAGAAAAGAAAAAACAGAGAGAAAAGAAAATAGAAAAAAGAAAAAGAAAATAAAAAGACAGAAAACATGAAAAAAAAAGATACATATAAAGAAATGGCTTCCAATATCCCTCTCAGCAGTTATGCATACAATTCTAATCAAACCACTCTCTCCAATTTCATTATAATTCCCTTCTTTCTATAACCTATTTTTTCTAATCATCAAAGCTATAAATCACAAAATCATTTCTTTCTCACACAAAAAGTCCATAAGGGGTTCCCAAGGGAAATCCAACATTCACTGATGAATGTCAGTAATGGCCCTTTTCTAATCAAAGTCGTCAATTTGTCCATCTCAGCAAGCTATCCCTCCGTGGTAGGTAATGCCAAATCTTTCCATACCAAAGTCCTTTAATTTTCCCATTAATGTTTTTACTCCC